GTTGCTAAGTTAACAATCTTTGGCCGATTGAGAATCGGGTCGTTCCGGAGCGGAGATCATATTGTCGTGGGAACGGCTTCTTGGTCTTAACCATAGGTTTATGAGTCGCAAATCTAAATAATAGAAAAGTACCGTGAGGACTTTGATGACAGGCGAGACAACGGTTTAAAGAACTAGAAATGATTCGGTCGCGGTAACAGTTGAAGAAACAGCAGCAACCGGCTCTTAATTCTACTAATACTAATACCTGCTTATTGATGCTCACTTAGAATTAGTAAGCGAAGCTGCTATACGATATACACCGGATGTCCAGCCAAAGGCATAAAAAGTATAAGTTTATCGACATAGACTTAAAGTTATAGCAATGAATTCATTATTTTAGGTGTTTTAGTTTAAATTTAAATTCTATTATTAAACAAAACAATTTTATATAAAAATTTCATTATATTAAAAATATGTTATCTTAAAATTCTCCAAATGAAATAAGAAAACATTCTATTCCAGCTCTCACTTTAGCACATTAAAAACCTCCACAGCAAAGTAGAAACAATATTCAAACAATCAAAGGTTTAAATAACAAAATTAAATTATATTTGTTATCTATTGTAAAGGTGTACTACTGTATATTGATTAATTAGCGGCTTCTAAGAATAGCTCCTAGACTCCAAGTGTCACCAATTGTGTTAGTGTGACCTGTGTTGTGATATGTAGCTTAGAAATGCACTTGTCTGAAACAAGGCAAAGTAGGCGTGTAATTTGGTGAATTGCATAAAATGCAGTTAATTACTTTAAACTTGTTATTTAAGTTACAAATTGAAAGTAATATTGTTATTTACCTTTTTTAATATAGAATTTTAATTTTTCTTCTTTTCTCAATGAACAACCACCAGCTGTTTTTTTATTACTATTTTATTTAGTTTTTGTGAAAGTAAACAGAATTTTCTTTGGTGTACTAGACAATTTTGTTGTTAATACTTTATAGGTTTTTTGCTTTTGTTTAGTATATTTTTTAACTTTTTAATTAATTAATTCTGGTTTTCTTTGTATATTTTATATAAAATTTTCCATTTGACCGTAAATTTATAAACACACAATTATATCTTCTTCCGTAATTCGGTAGAATAAAATTACAACTGTCAAAATATTTTCTCTCTAGAAGTGACATTTAAACTCTTTCTTTTTGTTGTTGTCATGGTTTTTGTGTGCAGAGTTGCTTGCAAGGCGAATTCCCATAAGGTGGTTCGGCAAGAAACAGTAATGTCAAAATTTTCACCTCATTTTCCATTAAACCATGTCACAAAAACCTCTAGAAACTGTCAGATTTAGGTTTTTTCAAAAGCTGCCGGAAAACGTCAAATAGACTAGACTATGGACTAGACTATAGACTAGACCATGATACAACCATATTGTTTTATTATGGACTATACTATATATTACACTATAGTCTAGACTATAAACTAGATTATAGACTATACTACAGACTAGACTATAGACTAGACTATAGACTAGACTATAGACTAGACTATAGACTAGACTATAGACTAGACTATAGACTAGAATATAGACTAGACTATAGACTAGACTATAGACTAGACTAGACTATAGACTAGACTAGACTAGACTATAGACTAGACTAGACTAGACTAGACTATAGACTAGACTATAGACTAGACTATAGACTAGACTATAGACTAGACTATAGACTAGACTATAGACTAGACTATAGACTAGACTATAGACTAGACTATAGACTAGACTATAGACTAGACTATAGACTAGACTATAGACTAGACTATAGACTAGACTATAGACTAGACTATAGACTAGACTATAGACTAGACTATAGACTAGACTATAGACTAGACTATAGACTAGACTATAGACTAGACTATAGACTAGACTATAGACTAGACTATAGACTAGACTATAGACTAGACTATAGACTAGACTATAGACTAGACTATAGACTAGACTATAGACTAGACTATAGACTAGACTATAGACTAGACTATAGACTAGACTATAGACTAGACTATAGACTAGACTAGACTAGACTATAGACTAGACTATAGACTAGACTATAGACTAGACTATAGACTAGACTATAGACTAGACTATAGACTAGACTATAGACTAGACTAGACTATAGACTAGACTAGACTATAGACTAGACTATAGACTATAGACTAGACTAGAGACTAGACTATAGACTAGACTATAGACTAGACTATAGACTAGACTATAGACTAGACTATAGACTAGATAGACTAGACTATAGACTAGACTATAGACTAGACTATAGACTAGACTATAGACTATAGACTAGACTATAGACTAGACTATAGACTAGACTATAGACTAGACTATAGACTAGACTATAGACTAGACTATAGACTAGACTATAGACTAGACTATAGACTAGACTATAGACTAGACTATAGACTAGACTATAGACTAGACTATAGACTAGACTATAGACTAGACTATAGACTAGACTATAGACTAGAATATAGACTAGACTATAGACTAGACTATAGACTAGACTATAGACTAGACTATAGACTAGACTAGAGACTAGACTATAGACTAGACTATAGACTAGACTATAGACTATAGACTAGACTATAGACTAGACTATAGACTAGACTATAGACTAGACTAGAGACTATACTATAGACTAGACTATAGACTAGACTATAGACTAGACTATAGACTAGACTATAGACTAGACTATAGACTAGACTATAGACTAGACTATAGACTAGACTATAGACTAGACTATAGACTAGACTATAGACTAGACTATAGACTAGACTATAGACTAGACTATAGACTAGACTACTATAGACTAGACTATAGACTAGACTATAGCCTAGACTATAGACTAGACTATAGACTAGACTATAGACTAGACTATAGACTAGACTAAGACTATAGACTATAGACGAGACTAGACTAGACTATAGACTAGACTATAGACTAGACTATAGACTAGACTATAGACTAGACTATAGACTAGACTATAGACTAGACTATAGACTAGACTCAGCAAAACTTGCTCTGGCTACGAAATTCATGGTAAAGTTTTTCTAAGATTGAAAAAAAAATATACGTGTTTGTGTGTTTGAATGCAGCAAATGAGAGTTCCAGGCTAAGTTTTGTACTTATGTCACAATTTTTCTGGCAACACTGTTAGTGATCTTAGAACCTTAAGTAGTATTCATACTATATGAAATTTAATATTGAATGCATTATGAATTGTTGTTTTTATCTTGCTTAGCGTGAACATGAACCATTTTTTGTCTTACATAATTTCTAATGTTTAAACATTTGTTTGATAATATTGTGAATGACAATTTATGATTAATAGTGGTGCCAACTTAGCGTGTTTTTATTAGTATAAAACTGGTGCTAGAGCGTTTATTTGTTATATTTCTCTCCCCTTTTTAACGCCTATTATGTAATAATTTATCGTGTTAGTAACTAACTGCTTCATTTGTCACTTAACGCAAATGAGTGAAATTAGAATCATGAAATTTTGACAGTACATAGTTGTATTTTTGGTTATGTTGATTCACTAAAGAGGGATTTTAGGAAATTTAAATATTTAGGAGTATATATATCGTATATATGTATATCGAATTTTCAACTGTTTTCGTCTTTTATTGATTCTTTGAGAATAACAATCTATAACAGGTTTTTGGTACTTTTTCGTTCATCAATTGGTACTTTATGTATTTTCTCTAATATTGAACTTTTATTGATGGTTTTATCGTTTTGTATAACTAATTCTTTCGAAACCAACCTGGTCCATTCTATATGTTTTTATACATATATACATATTTCATAAAATTAGACCACTTTTGACCATGGGAGTGTTAAATGGTTAATTATTTTTTGTTTTGCTGTAATTTAAACCTGATACCTCATGTTTCAATATTTGCCTGAAGTTTGTAATGTGTCCTTGATAGATAAGCATCTCATTTTGTTATTATTATTATTTGATATTCATTGTACAAACTATTATTTCAATTAAGCATATCATTCAACCCTTATGGACATTTGGAATATAATGTTCTTTATTTGTATAAATATTAGGGTGACTTTTTTGCTTTTTGAATACATTTGGTTCTAACGCGAACTTTATAGAAAACACATTTTGTTCTGAGGGCGCATAAATAGTCATATAAATTGTGCTAGATCTATATGCATAATCAATAGATGTCACTAATTGAGGTGAAGTTAGGTTGTTCGAACATTTGTATATGTGAGGCATCGAGAGAGGTCCTTGACCACTGACAGTGTAAGTAAATTGGAATGAGTAGGTGATGTTAACAATGACTGTAGATCTATTGTGATTTCAATTGTGTCAAAACGATCAACGATCTTAAGGAACCTGAATTCCCCAAAGTACAGCATTTAGGTTTCATATAATGTTTTAGCAGCTCATAACAGATAGAACCCTTTTGTTTCCACCAAATTCAGAGTATAACCTTAGCTTCGTGGATAGCTTTGGTATTGTCCTCATATAATCTCTTACGTTTTGTGTTATTGTAATGGATCCCTCTTCCATCACAAATAACGATTCGGTTCAAAAATGAGTTTGTTTTATAGCTTTTAAGCAGCATTTCAGATAAAAACCGTTTCACAAGGTCTCTTGGCTTCAATTCGTATGGCACCCATTTTCCCTGATTTTGAATGAATCCTACTGCTCGCAAGCGTTTGGAAATTGCTGCTTGAATAGCTCTAAATAATTTTGTAAGTACTTTATAAGTTTGACAATAACACAGGCCAACAAATTATGAAAAAGTTCGAAACTCCTAAAGGATTGACCTATTCTAAAAGTTTGTAAAAATAAACTCAGTTTCTTATCCAATGATATAAGAAAGAAAAATCGTTTCCTTTAATATTTTCAAAATTTAAGCTTTTTAAACTTTTATATAGCAAATTTTTGCAAGAAATGTACCCCTAATTTATGAATTTAGTTTTTTGCATTTAAATCACGAACTTTTTTATTCAAAATTATATGCATGAACTATTTCTATGACAATATTTATTTTAAACATGTAACCATAAACAAAAAGAGAAACAAAATAACATTTAGTCGTCAGTTGTTTGGTCGGTTGGTTAGTCACTCTTTAGTTTTGTTGCACAATTCTCAGTTGACCACTGCATTTACTTCTAATGGTAATTTCGATTTTTGTTTCACAAACATTGTGTCATTATACTCCGAAACTCTGGCAAAATCATTGTTCTCTTTGTCTTTATCATTGTCAGCGTTGACATTGTATTTGTCATTGTAGCTGTTGTCATTTTTCAAACGTTGCTGTCGTTGTTCTACCACATCCTTTACTTTCTCATCTTCTTCTACTTCTTCTTCATCATAGTCATCCGGAACATTGTTTCTTCTTTCGATAACATTTACATAATTGTAAATATTGCTAACGCTGGCATCATCATCATCAGCTTTTGTAGTATTTGTTGCAAAATCTGCTGCCTCTATATCAACAGCATCATTGGCAACAACAACAGCAGTTGCAGAAGTATTTGCTGTGTCACCGCAACTTAAAATATGACTTGAGGAAATTTTCAATAAGGATTTCAGTTTGGTTGCTTGAAACTTATACTACAACAATAATGAATAATGAAAAGAAAGAAAGAAATATAAATTATTAAATTCATGTTTAAATATTGAAATAGTTAAAGATATGTTGAGTATTTCAATTATTAAAGAATTGCTTTAATCGAAAGCCAATAATAAGATCTTCAAATCTGAATATACCAAGCGAAAATACAAAACCACTTTCCGAAAGAATTTAATAATTTTCCCGCCTACGTAGAAAGAGGTCTTGATTATAACTTTCCCAAAAAATATAATTAAGTAAAACTCTCTTCAAAGTTGTTTGAGTTTTTAGAATGCCCCCCGGATTACTATATATCTTAGCCCATATGCAAAGTTGTCTGTCTGAAAGAATCACATGGCAGTTTTCTATATCGAAAAATTAAATTTTTTAAATAAATGCTTCTTGGATGTCTTTTTCTGACATCTTTCAATATTGGTGTAAGAAAATCGGAGTGGAATTTAGGACAAACTATATTGATCTTGCTCGTAACTAATCTGACTGTCTTGATTTTCTTTTTTGGGAATTTTAATTGGTAAATGACTTGAATTAGTTGATAAATGACTTATAGAACTATCCAGGATTTGGATCATAAATATATTTGGGGCCTTGAGATAATTGTTTTTAAGAAAACATACAGACTTAAAGAAGGTCATTTGGGAGTATATATTCTTTGTCGCATTATAAAACAGTACAAATTATAAACTTCACCAGAAAACCAGTTGAAAAGTATAGCCGCTCAAGTTGTACTATATGATAATCTACACCGATATAAACTAAATTTCCAAAGTCGTACTTACGACAATTAGATCCGGAACAACCCGATTCTTATTAAACAGCTATATTAAATGGATTTTTTTTTCACCAGGGAGCATTCAACATCAGCGGATTTCTAGTCATAGAAAAATCAATACATTACTCCATAAACTGGTCAAGCGATTAGTCCATAGTTCAGTCCGTAGCTCTGACCATATACATACTTGCAAATAGTTAAGTCCGTAATCTATTTAATAGGCTAATCAATAGACTAGTCCATAGAGTAGTCAATATACTAGTAGTCAATAGACTAGTCCGAAGTATAGTCAAGTCCATAAATAGTTAATAGTGGAGTCCAAACACTAGCAATTATAATTCCATACACTAGATAAGACAATAATCCATAGACTAGTCCATAAATTAGCTTATAGACTAGTCCATAGATAAGTCCGTAAACAGTTTAATAGGCTAGTCCATAGAGTAGTCCATACACTAATTCTTAGTATAATTCAGTCTATAAACTACTCAAGACGATAGTCCGTAGACTAGGAGTAGTCAATAGACTAGCCCATAGAATGGACAATAGACTATTCCATAGAGTAGGCTAGTCAATAGTATAATCAAGTCCATATAAAGATAATAGAGTAGTCCAAATTCCAGTAAATATAAGTCCATAAACTAGATATGACAATAGTCCATAGCGAATACCCTAAACTGTTTAATAGACTAGCCCATAGAGTAGACTAGCCCAAATTGTAATAAACATATGTAAGTCCATATACTAGTCCATTGATTCGACCTTTATGTAATCCATAGATAAGTCCGTAGGCCAATCCATAGATTAGTATATAGACTATTTAATAAACTACTCCATATACTAAACAATAGACTAGTAAATAGTTTAATCTATAGAATAGTCCATGGACTAGTCGATAGACTAGTCAATAACTAATGGACCGTTCGTCACGGATTTTAGAGATATCGTGTTCTAACTGTTACTACTACGCTTTAGATTAAGATACCTTGAAGAAGGACTTTCATAATACATAATGATGTCTTTGCGCTGTTAAATCGTATCAAACATGGCGAAAAACGGGGATTTTATCATATTTTTGGACTCGATGTGTTGAAAATCTTAAATAATGGTAAAATTCTGATATCTTTAGTAAAGTATATTTTGTTTTTCATATTAAAAATGTGTTATTAAGAAAAACATACATTTCCCAACCATTACAATTCATTGTGCCAAGAGTTTACATAATATTTCATTTAATAAAAACATTTTAATGTAATTTTAAATACCGACATTGTGGGCAATAAACAAAGACTGAAAATGTTTAAAGGCCACGAAAAATAATATTGTTTTTTTTTTTTCTCAGTATTAAACGTGTAATTATTGGGTGTCACTTGTAAATAACTACAGAAGTTTTTTGGTTTTACATTTTCCATTTAATTTATAATTTAATAATTGTTAAAATTATTAATGTGTATAACAGTTAAATACTTTATAATACTGAGAAAAAAAATTTGCATGATTGGTTGGTTATGCATTAAAACATTTTTATTAAATTAAATTTCATAAATATAATTTAACTATTAACATTAATAGACAATTAAATGAAATGAAATTAAATTATAAATAATAATAATTATGTAAATGTCATGTAAAGTTTGCGGCTACTGTATATGTTAATATATAAAAGTTTTGTATAAAAACATCATGAGAAAAGAATTTCTGATATGATTTCATCAAATATAAAATTTGGCTGAAAATTAAGTTCTTATTAAAGATTTCATAAAGAATAAAATATATCAAAATTAACTGAAAACGAATGTTGATATGTAGTCAGATCAGGGACGGACAATTCGATACTATTAAACTAACTAAATAAGTGTAAAGTCTAGTCCATGGACTATTCATTGAACTAGTTTACAAATTAGTCCATAGACCAGTCCATATACTAGACAACTCCATAAATCAGTCAATAGAACCGTAAATAGATTGGTTCATAGAATAAACAAAATACTATAAAATAGAATATTCCATAGACTAGTCCATGGATTAGGCAATAGATCAGTCCATAGACTAGTCAACAGATTGTCCACATGGGCTATTAAATAATCGAGTCCATGGAAAAGTCAAAAGACAAAGAAATAGATTAGTCAATAGAGCTGTCCATATACTAGTTAAAAAATAAGTCCATCAATTAGTCAAAAGTATATTCCATATATAAGTCAATATACTAATTTATAAACGAGCCAATAGACTTGTTAATAGTCTAGTCCATCAATTCGTTAATAGATTTGTAAATAGTTTAGACCATCGACTAGTCAATTCATTAGTCCATAGACTAGATTAGTTTTTAGACCAGTCAGTAGAGTAGACTATATAATAGAAATTAGAGAAGTCCATAAACTAATCAATAGACTAGTCCATAGGCAAGTCATAGATAAAGCAATAGTCCATTGAATTAGGTCCCTAGAATAGTCAATAGACTAATCTAAGGACTAGTTAATCGACAAGTCGATAGAATGGTTCATGGGCTAGTCAGTAGACTATTACATAGAATAGTCCATAAAATAGTCCAGATCATAGTGTAGTGAATAGGCTAGTAAAAAAACTAGTTCGTAGACTATCGACTAGTCGATAGAATAGTTTATGGGCTAGTCAGTAGACTAATACATAGACTAGTCCATAGAATAGTCAGTCAATAGTCTAGGCCATCTAGAAGTAAATAGTCTAGTTCATAGACTAGTGAATAGATAAGTCCATAAATGATTCAACAAACTAGTCAATAGATTAGTCAATAGAGTTTATAATAGATTAGTCCATAGAATAGTAAACAGATTTATCCATAGACCAGTTCCTAGACCTCATATACTAGTGAATAGATAAGTCTATACTAGTTCATAAACAATTCAATAGAATGGTCTTTAAATTAGTCAATAGTCTAGACCATCGACTAGTCATTTCAATAGATTAGTCCATAGAGTAGTCAATATACTGGTCCATAGAATAGACAATTGATTAATTCAAAGACTAAACAATAGACTAGTCAATAGAATAGTTCATAAACTAGTCTGTATACTTTAACATGGACTAATCCATAGGATAGTCTCCGGTCCATAGACTAGTAAATAGACTAGTGAGAATATATAAGTTCATAAGCTCGTGAATTGACTAGTCCATGGAGTTGTTGATCGCTTATTACATAGACAAGTTTGTCCATAGACTAGTTCATAAACTAAAGTAAATAGGCTAGTCCACAAACTATTCAATAGACTAGTCAATAGAAAAGTCAACAGATTAGTCAATAGAGTTCATAATAGACTAGTCAACAGATGAGTCCATAAACTAATCAACATATATAAATCCATAGATTAATCAACAGATGAGTCCATAAGTTAGTTAAAAGCCTAGTAAATAGATTAGTCAATAGTGAATAGATAAACTAGTCAATAAACTAGTCCATAGACGAGTCTATAGACTAGTTCATAAACAAGTCAATAGGGTAGTCCATAACTTACATCATTTCTAATTGTATTTCAGAACTATAAGTTTATAGTCAAATTGACTAAGTCAATAGACTAGGCCACAGAATACTCAATAAACTGGCGTATAGAATAGACAATAGATTAGTCGATAGAATAGTCCATGGACTAGTCTATAGACTATCCAGTAAACGACTCTATAGAATAGTTAAAATAGTAGTCTATAGACTTGTCTATAAACGAGTCCTTAGAATAGTCCTTGAACTTGAACAATCAATATATTAGTCCAAATACAACTCATCAGATTAGACAATAGACCAGTTCGTAGAGCTGTCTATGAAGTAGACATCAATAGACTAGTTCATATAAAAGCGATTAGATTAGACCGTAGAGTAGTCAATAGACTGGTCCATAGATTAGATAATAGAGTTGACGATAGAGTAGTCTATGTACTTTTCAACAGAGAAGACCATAAAGTAACCAATGGACTAGTTCACAGTCTACCAAGGTTAAATATTTAGTTATGTATTACTTAAAACATTAACAAAATTTTTTGCTGGGATCTTAATAAAAGTTCAGTCATAAGCTCCTGTGTAGACAAAAAACATAAAATATTTGTAATCTTTTACCACTTTTGCTTATGTTACAGGCATATTTCTATACATTATTCTCTATAATATAATGTTTTTATTCTTTGTTAGTTTTTTTTTTGTTTTTGTTTTATATTTGTAAAAGTGTTTAAATACACTTGTTCATTGTCATTGTTTTTCAAAGTCAATGTCAATATCAATGCCATTGCCCGACTGAGTAAATCCATTGTAAATCTCTTAATTGTGACACACTTACTTCAGTTGGCAACAGCATCAAATCCTGGGCACAACCAACAAAGCGATTATATTGTTCCGTAGCCAACGCCAAACGACCAGTTTCATAACAAAATAGTGCAAAATTTAGATGTATTAAAGGATTATGGGACGTACTACTGCTAGTGTTACCTCCAGTAGTAGTCTTACTATTCACACTTTGATTGTTTGTCGCAGAGTTAGAGGCTGTAGCTGTGGCAGCTGTAGATGATGAAGTGGTTGAAGTGGCAACTGCTGCGGCAGAGATTGCACTGGCACGTTCAAATGCTGTGAAGGCATTATCGAAATCCTCAAGTTTGCGTAAACAAACTTGATAAGTTTGTATGAAGTATATCAGCAAAATACGAGAAGAAGGGAGAACATTTTGTAGAAAAACAAAAAAGAAAATTATTAATATAGAGAATATATAAAGAGGTTTTATTAATGGAATTATTACATATGATATTTATATATTATGTAGTTATATTAGGGTGGTTCTGAAAATAAAAGTTACTAATAATTCCCAACTTAAATGAAAGCAAAACAACAATACTTCTTATATGTCTTTGTAAGATATATGCAAAATATCACAGAAACCTCTAAAAACCAGCAAAGGAACATTATAAACTTTTGTTTTGGCACAACCCTAATGTATTGATTTTCTATAGGAGATGCTGTATGGGGAGTATGGCCGATTGTGGATTGATTGTTATATATAAAACTGCTATTTTTAATCCAGTTCTGCATATTTTATGAAGCGGATCTTATATGGGTGCTAGGATCAAATAAGGTTCGATTTTCACAAAACATTATCGCAAGATTTATGGATACATTAAATTAATCTGTGCAAAATTTCATAAAGATTACCGTCACTGTATTGGGGCTACGTGAAAAGGTTGACCGATATTGGCCATTTTTAATACCATGATTTTAACTGATATGCCGATAATCATACATAGCTAAATCATCGTAAAAACTAATATGGACACAGAAGATATATGCTTACATTTAAAATTTCAGAACTACATACCAACTCTAACCCTAATAAACCAATACTCTACCTGTCTTTCAGATAATAAACACGTATGAAAGGAAAATTGTTTTCACATCTTTACTCTTTAATTAAAGAAATAATTATGTTGTTTCATAGAATTTATATATGAATAGTATCTTTTCAATACAAGGATACTACCTACTGGCCTTCATTATTTGGTCTTTATTACTTAAAGTTATTAATTATCAATATAAAATTCATTTAAGAAAGTGTTATAAAATTAAATACTTAATTTCATAATACTTTAATGAATCATATCTTATATATATATGTAATTAATATCAGACCATTTAATCGGTTGGTACGTTTGTTTGTTACACTTTTAGGGAAAAACTACTGAACTGATTTATATGAGATTTAAAATAACCGTTAGAGCTATTCTCGAAAGGAAAGGAAAGTGCAGCAGTTCATTATGGAATGTTATGCCGCCATATTGTAAAGTCTATATATAGTCTAGTCTATAGGCTAGTCTATAGTCTAGTCTATAGTCTAGTCTATGGTCTAGTCTATAGTCTAGTCTATAGTCTAGTCTATAGTCTAGTCTATAGTCTAGTCTATAGTCTAGTCTATAGTCTAGTCTATAGTCTAGTCTATAGTCTAGTCTATAGTCTAGTCTATAGTCTAGTCTATAGTCTAGTCTATAGTCTAGTCTATAGTCTAGTCTATAGTCTAGTCTATAGTCTAGTCTATAGTCTAGTCTATAGTCTAGTCTATAGTCTAGTCTATAGTCTAGTCTATAGTCTAGTCTATAGTCTAGTCTATAGTCTAGTCTATAGTCTAGTCTATAGTCTAGTCTATAGTCTAGTCTATAGTCTAGTCTATAGTCTAGTCTATAGTCTAGTCTATAGTCTAGTCTATAGTCTAGTCTATAGTCTAGCCTATAGTCTAGTCTATAGTCTAGTCTATAGTCTAGTCTATAGTCTTGTCTATAGTCTAGTCTATAGTCTAGTCTATAGTCTAGTCTATAGTCTAGTCTATAGTCTAGTCTATAGTCTAGTCTATAGTCTAGTCTATAGTCTAGTCTATAGTCTAGTCTATAGTCTAGTCTATAGTCTAGTCTATAGTCTAGTCTATAGTCTAGTCTATAGTCTAGTCTACAGTCTAGTCTATAGTCTAGTCTATAGTCTAGTCTATAGTCTAGTCTACAGTCTAGTCTACAGTCTAGTCTATAGTCTAGTCTATAGTCTAGTCTATAGTCTAGTCTATAGTCTAGTCTATAGTCTAGTCTATAGTCTAGTCTATAGTCTAGTCTATAGTCTAGTCTATAGTCTAGTCTATAGTCTAGTCTATAGTCTAGTCTATAGTCTAGTCTATAGTCTAGTCTATAGTCTAGTCTATAGTCTAGTCTATAGTCTAGTCTATAGTCTAGTCTATAGTCTAGTCTATAGTCTAGTCTATAGTCTAGTCTATAGTCTAGTCTATAGTCTAGTCTATAGTCTAGTCTATAGTCTAGTCTATAGTCTAGTCTATAGTCTAGTCTATAGTCTAGTCTATAGTCTAGTCTATAGTCTAGTCTATAGTCTAGTCTATAGTCTAGTCTATAGTCTAGTCTATAGTCTAGTCTATAGTCTAGTCTATAGTCTAGTCTATAGTCTAGTCTATAGTCTAGTCTATAGTCTAGTCTATAGTCTAGTCTATAGTCTAGTCTATAGTCTAGTCTATAGTCTAGTCTATAGTCTAGTCTATAGTCTAGTCTATAGTCTAGTCTATAGTCTAGTCTATAGTCTAGTCTATAGTCTAGTCTATAGTCTAGTCTAAGTCTAGTCTATAGTCTAGTCTATAGTCTAGTCTATAGTCTAGTCTATAGTCTAGTCTATAGTCTAGTCTATAGTCTAGTCTATAGTCTAGTCTATAGTCTAGTCTATAGTCTAGTCTATAGTCTAGTCTATAGTCTAGTCTATAGTCTAGTCTATAGTCTAGTCTATAGTCTAGTCTATAGTCTAGTCTATAGTCTAGTCTATAGTCTAGTCTATAGTCTAGTCTATAGTCTAGTCTATAGTCTAGTCTATAGTCTAGTCTATAGTCTAGTCTATAGTCTAGTCTATAGTCTAGTCTATAGTCTAGTCTATAGTCTAGTCTATAGTCTAGTCTATAGTCTAGTCTATAGTCTAGTCTATAGTCTAGTCTATAGTCTAGTCTATAGTCTAGTCTATAGTCTAGTCTATAGTCTAGTCTATAGTCTAGTCTATAGTCTAGTCTATAGTCTAGTCTATAGTCTAGTCTATAGTCTAGTCTATAGTCTAGTCTATAGTCTAGTCTATAGTCTAGTCTATAGTCTAGTCTATAGTCTAGTCTATAGTCTAGTCTATAGTCTAGTCTATAGTCTAGTCTATAGTCTAGTCTATAGTCTAGTCTATAGTCTAGTCTATAGTCTAGTCTATAGTCTAGTCTATAGTCTAGTCTATAGTCTAGTCTATAGTCTAGTCTATAGTCTAGTCTATAGTCTAGTCTATAGTCTAGTCTATAGTCTAGTCTATAGTCTAGTCTATAGTCTAGTCTATAGTCTAGTCTATAGTCTAGTCTAGTCTAGTCTATAGTCTAGTCTATAGTCTAGTCTATAGTCTAGTCTATAGTCTAGTCTATAGTCTAGTCTATAGTCTAGTCTATAGTCTAGTCTATAGTCTAGTCTATAGTCTAGTCTATAGTCTAGTCTATAGTCTAGTCTAGTCTAGTCTATAGTCTAGTCTATAGTCTAGTCTATAGTCTAGTCTATAGTCTAGTCTATAGTCTAGTCTATAGTCTAGTCTATAGTCTAGTCTATAGTCTAGTCTATAGTCTAGTCTATAGTCTAGTCTATAGTCTAGTCTATAGTCTAGTCTATAGTCTAGTCTATAGTCTAGTCTATAGTCTAGTCTATAGTCTAGTCTATAGTCTAGTCTATAGTCTAGTCTATAGTCTAGTCTATAGTCTAGTCTATAGTCTAGTCTATAGTCTAGTCTATAGTCTAGTCTATAGTCTAGTCTATAGTCTAGTCTATAGTCTAGTCTATAGTCTAGTCTATAGTCTAGTCTATAGTCTAGTCTATAGTCTAGTCTATAGTCTAGTCTATAGTCTAGTCTATAGTCTAGTCTATAGTCTAGTCCTATAGTCTTCTAGTCTAGTCTATAGTCTAGTCTATAGTCTAGTCTATAGTCTAGTCTATAGTCTAGTCTATAGTCTAGTATATAGTCTAGTCTAGTCTAGTCTAGTCTATAGTCTAGTCTATAGTCTAGTCTAGTCTAGTCTATAGTCTAGTCTAGTCTAGTCTATAGTCTAGTCTATAGTCTAGTCTAGTCTAGTCTAGTCTAGTCTAGTCTAGTCTAGTCTAGTCTAGTCTAGTCTAGTCCTAGTCTAGTCTAGTCTAGTCTAGTCTATAGTCTAGTCTATAGTCTAGTCTATAGTCTAGTCTATAGTCTAGTCTATAGTCTAGTCTATAGTCTAGTCTAGTCTATAGTCTAGTCTAGTCTAGTCTAGTCTATAGTCTAGTCTATTATATAGTTTTGTCTGTATTATATAGTTTTGTCTATATTTTAGTCTGTAGTTTAGTCTATAGTCTAATCTATAGCCTAGTCTATGGTATGGTCTCTTGTTAGTCTGTAGTCGAGTCTGTAGTCTCGTTTATATATTGTAGTCTGCAGTCTAGTCTATGGTTAGTCTAGTCTATAGTTTAGTTTATAGCCTTGTCTACTATAGTCTAGTCTATAATCTAGTCTATAGTCGGGTAATACCGGGTACACGCAGTATATAAACTCATGTTTGTATGTACAGTTGTGAGCACAAAACAGGCAACATAATGAAGTAATAGTCCGAAGAAGTTATGTCGTTTTAAAAGAAGGCTCTTGAAAATTTTCATTTTGCTCACAACTGTACGTATTTATATATTTATATGGATATAATTTAAATTAATTAGGGCGACTTACAAAAAACCTGATCAATACCAGATTAAAGTTTCCATTAACTGATAATTTAAAATCATTCGCAATACTTGCAATAAGGACCTGAGCTCTTCCGAACTAAAAAATGTATTAATTGGAAAAAAAACATTTTTGTTTTTATGCGTTAAAGTAATTTTCTGATAACCAGACGAACGGACATGGCAAGATGGCTTTTAAATTTAATCAGGACCTAGTTTTGTGGGTATATGACCAATATACTCCTTCCCCACCCCATTTTTTTATTAAGAACTGAAACAACATTTTTCAAAACTTGTTTCCCTTTTACATCAAAGTCACCCTAATATATATGTATGTATATGATTGTGCGTATAAAGAATTGGTTAAACAACACTTACTACCAAGTAGCATATAGCATTCAGCATTATCCTTGCGTAAATTTATGGCGGCTGCTAAAGTATGAAAAGCACTGGCATACTGTTGTGCTATGAAAAAGATAAGAGAAACAAAAGATCAACACATTATTTAAAGTCATTGTTTTAAGTTTTTTTTTAACAAAATAACTTGTGTGATGATAATAACAATAAACAGTGGAACGCAGTGGAAATTAACACATTTATTAAGGACAATAATTAAAATAAAAAGTTTATATTGTTAGTGGGAAATTAAATTGTAAATTTTAAAAGTTAAAAAAAAGTATGAACATATTTAATTAGATAATTAATTGTATAGCAAATGAAAGGTCTTTTGAATAGCTTTTAGTTGGTATACATATTAACGATGTATGTGTATGTATGCGGACTTTAGCATTCTTAATATATTAAAGATATTGGACTAATGTAAAACATGACTAGAGGATTTTATTTCAAACTAGATTAAAATGTCTTGGGAACGATGTTTTGCCAGAAATATTGTTTGGAAAATTTTAAGAAACTGTATCCAGGAAACTGCATTCATAGAACACAGTATGATTTGAAATCTGATTCAAAATTTCAGTGTCTTTCTTAGTGTTTTAGGATTCTTTTATATTTTGTGTCACTTTTAATCTGTCACACTGTATTCCATTAAAGTTTATTTATTTAAAATTTTAACCTCTTAGTTCACTTTTATTATTATGGGATTTTTGATTTTAATTATTATTGTGGTTTTGCCTTTTAATGTGTGTATGTGTGTGTACTTGAGGCCAGAAGCTTTCAAATTAAGTTTTAAAAAGTTTTTTTGAATCTTCTTATTTTTAAAGTGCATATGTACTTATTAATTTTTAAATTATAAACAGAGCTGAGGTTTTTATATTTTGCTTAATTCTACATTCAATGTTACAAAAAAATCAAAAAAGTACCAGTTGTATAACGAAAAAGTACTAAAAAGTTCACTTTTATAGATTCTCCCGTACTCGATGTGTATAATGAAAAAGTACCAAAATGTATCTTTTGAAAGCTTCTCATTTGATTTCATATTTCTAAGTTCTATTTGATAGAAAACTCAAAAAGTACCAGTTAGGTAACGCAAAAGTACCAGAAAATAGCCCTTTATAGATATTCATTCATTTTAGAGGTACGAAAAAGTATCAAAAATTCCCTTTTTATAGATTTTCATTTACACATGACTCCGTATGTTTAATTTCACGGTTTAAAGATTCAATATTATAGAAAACTCCTTTTATAGATTCTCTTTTAATCTAAGCTCTACATGGTTAATTTCACCTGATAGCTTAATTCTACATTCAATGTTAAAGATAAATCAAAAAAGTACCAGTTGTATAACGAAAAAGTACCAAAAAGTTCACTTTTATAGATTCTCCCGTACTCGATGTGTATAATGAAAAAGTACCAAAATGTATCTTCTGAAAGCTTCTGAAAGCTCATTTAGTTAGAACTCCGCTTCGTTTAATTTCATGTTTCTAAGTTCTATTTGATAGAAAACTTAAAAAGTAGCAGTTAGGTAACGCAAAAGTACCAGAAAATAGCCCTTTATAGATATTCATTCATTTTAGAGGTACGAAAAAGTATCAAAAATTCCCTTTTTATAGATTTTCATTTACACATGACTATGTATGTTTAATTTCATGGTTCAAAGATTCAATATTATAGAAAACAAAAAAGGTACCTTTTGAAAAAAGGACGAAAAGGGCTACTTTTATAGATTCTCTTTTAATCTAAGCTCTACATGGTTAATTTCACCTGATTGCTTAATTCTACATTCAATGTTAAATATAAATCAAAAAAGTACCAGTTGTATAACCAAAAAGTACCAAAAAGTTCAGTTTTATAGATTCTCCCGTACCCGATGTATAATGAAAAAGTACCAAAATGTATCTTTTGAAAGCTTCACATTTGATTTCATATTTCTAAGTTCTATTTGATAGAAAACTCAAAAAGTACCAGTTAGGTAACGCAAAAGTACCAGAAAATAGCCCTTTATAGATATTCATTAATTTTAGAGGTACAAAAAAGTATCAAAAAGTCCCATATTAAAGATTTTCATTTACACATGACTCTGTATGTTTAATTTCATGGTTCAAGGTTCAATATTATAGAAATCACAAAAGGTACCTTTTGAAAAAAGGGCCAAAAAGGCTGCTTTTATAGATTCTCATTTAATCTAAGCTCTACAAGGTTAAATTCACCTAAGAGAAAGAAAAAAATATGTATGAAAATCTCAGCCCTGATAATAATAATGGCTTGTTGTAATTATTTTAAGTCGGTATTCCTTTTTTAACTTCATGCTTGCCTAAGTAAGTGATAAACGATTCATGCTTCTTGGCGTGGTTATGTAAAGCACTACATATTTATAAATTTGTAAAAGTACAATATATAACCGCAATCATTTAAGAATATATAGTTATTTTTGTTATATTTAATTTATTATTAATTAAATGGCTGATTTTCGGTTAAAAAGCGTGACAAATTTTTAATTTTCTATCCATTGATATCTAAAGTGTTACTAAAGTGTTATCTTTAAGTGTTACCAACTATTACAAAAATATTTCAAATTTATATGTTTTTTATTGACAAACACATGTAGAAGGGTTAAAAATAAGCAACCATGACTTTAAGAGGAAAACATACATAAATCTTTTGTCATTTGAAATGTCATACACAATTTAGAATTGTGATCATATTTTGTTTTCTTGTTTTGCTTATTCAACTTGTATAAATGTGGATTATAAATCTCGAACAGACAGTTACGAACGCAAAACACTTGCTCGCTATCCTGCGGTTATAAAAGTGCAAAATTGACAACTCCATGTTTATGTTAAAAACTGAAACCATACGTTTCTCTATGAGTGAAACTATTCGTATGTAAAATACTTAAAAGGAATTGTCAATACAATTCCAACTAACGATACTTTCGATTGCTTATTGTTATTGAAACCTATGTTAGATTACATGGGCCGTGAAATGTAAACAATTCTTAAAGGGTATACAATAAGTGTGTTCTAAAAGTACTGTCTGTAATCTGCAGGAATGTTATTTATTTCAAATATAAAAAACACAAATAAAATGTGTAAATTTCTTGAGTTATGTATGTGAGTCGAAAGATAATGTTATATTAATGTTGTGAAACTAGTGCAATGAACTGCTGGACTCAGTCATACATTAGGGTGTATCGATAGATAGATACACGCAGAGAAAAAACATGGTTCAAAATGGTTACTGCAACTATCCCATGCTTACTGTAACAATATATTGTTTTCAAAAACATATACTTGTTATTTTAATTAGATTTTAACAATATTTTAGTTACTGTAAACATTTTCATGTTCCAGGCAATTATAAATTTGAGTATAATTCACTGAATCATAATTATTTTTACAACAACTAAATACTGATAACAAGGAAAACATATCCTGTTATTAACAACCATTTAAACTTGCAAATAACCATAATATGTTATGTTATATAACCATTGTATGTTATGTTGTTATAAATAACCATTATATGTTATGTTGTTATATGTCTGCTGATACATCAACAAATTAATACAACAACAAAACTACTTTTGCTCACACAGATTACTTTTTCGTGTGTGTTTTTTAGGCGACAATAAAATGAGTTGAAATAATTCTCATTTGGTTTATAGCATTAAATGTATAAGTATTTCAGTTTGCATAGAATAATGTAGTTATGTTTTTGTGAATCAAATTGAAATTTGCGAAGTGTGTTAAGTATTGTAAGTATGTTATCTTTATTTATATATATATATTTTTTTCCTTTTTTAGAAACTGTATTTTTACTGATTCAGTAAAATTATTTTGTTTTCGATGCATATCTTTAAACGAAATTTTGACACATTGGATCATAATATGATCATGTATAACAATATGATTATGATAAATAGAAAAATATTATGATGAAATATTTTAACGGTATTTAATCATAATATGATATTTTAAATTTTTTACAATAACGATATTATGTTAAGACTACAATCATAATTTTAACCATAATATGTTGCTCTTAGAACATGGTTACCACAACCATGTTTTTCTCTGCGTGTAGATAGATAGATAGATAGATAGATAGATAGATAGATAGATAGATAGATAGATAGATAGATAGATAGATAGATAGATAGATAGATAGATAGATAGATAGATAGATAGATAGATAGATAGATAGATAGATAGATAGATCGCTCGATAGATACGATAGATAGATAGATAGATCGATAGATAGCTCGATCGCTCGATCTCGCTCGCTAGCTCGCTCGCTCGCTCGCTCGCTCGCTAGCTCGATCGCTCGCTCGCTCGCTCGCTCGCTAGCTCGCTCGCTCGCTCGCTCGCTCGCTCGCTCGCTCGCTCGCTCGCTCGCTCCTCGCTCGCTCGCTCGCTCGCTCGCTCGCTCTCGCTCGCTCGCTCGCTCGCTCGCTCGCTCGCTCCTCGCTCGCTCGCTCGCTCGCTCGCTCGCTCGCTCGCTCGCTCGCTCGCTCGCTCGCTCGCTCGCTAGCTCGCTCGCTCGCTCGCTCGCTCGCTCGCTCGCTCGCTCGCTCGCTCGCTCGCTCGCTCGCTCGCTCGCTCGCTCGCTCGCTCGCTCGCTCGCTCGCCTCCTCGCTCGCTCGCTCGCTCGCTCGCTCGCTCGCTCGCTCGCTCGCTCGCTCGCTCGCTCGCTCGCTCGCTCGCTCGCTCGCTCGCTCGCTCGCTCGCTCGCTCGCTCGCTCGCTCGCTCGCTCGCTCGCTCGCTCGCTCGCTCGCTCGCTCGCTCGCTCGCTCGCTCGCTCGCTCGCTCGCTCGCTCGCTCGCTCGCTCGCTCCTCGCTCGCTCGCTCGCTCGCTCGCTAGCTCGCTCGCTCGCTCGCTCGCTCGCTGCTCGCTCGCTCTCTCGCTCGCTGCTCGCTCGCTCGCTCGCTCGCTCGCTCGCTCGCTCGCTCGCTCGCTCGCTCGCTCCTCGCTCGCTCGCTCGCTCGCTCCTCGCTCTCGCTCGCTCGCTCGCTCCTCGCTCGCTGCTCGCTCGCTCGCTCGCTCGCTCGCTCGCTCGCTCGCTCTCTCGCTCGCTCGCTCTCGCTCGCTCGCTCGCTCGCTCGCTCGCTCGCTCTCTCGCTCGCTCGCTCGCTCGCTCGCTCGCTCGCTCGCTCTCCCTTTTTCCTTCCCTGTTCTCTCCCTCCCCCTTCCCTTGTCCCGTGCGTTGTCCTTTCCTGGTGCCCGCCCTCTTGCTTTTTCCTGCTGCCCTCGCCTGCCCCTGTCTGCCTGCCTTCTCCTTCGCCCCCTCCCCCCTCTTCCTGCTCTCTTTCTCTCCTCTCTTCCCCCCTCAGCTCCTCCCGGCCTTCTGCACCATCCCTGCAATTTACTTAAAATGACAATAATTCTCAAGCGGGAAAATGAATATTCTCAATAAATGTAATTTTAGGTTTTTTTTTGGAAACAGCAAAGTTTTAGCTTAAAATTATGCTTTCCCCTGACATAAGGAAGACTTATGTCTAAAATATTTAAAAGTTATATTTTTAGTTTAAGTGCATTTCTTATAAAATCGTAGCACTGCTAATAAATTGCCCACTCTATGCTATGGAAATGAATTATTTTATTTGTGGAATTTACTATAAATAAAATGATATTTTATCCTTCTACTTACCACAATCAATTTTGTTTTTTGAAAAAACACAAACCAATATTATTCCATAATTCAGCAATGTCTGGCTTTAGGGCAGCAATCTCTCTATATTTTCCCAAGGCACCATCAACATCGTTGCGGGACTGACATTCATATACCATTCATAGTGTAAGTTATTCAAGTAAAATTGCAAATAGTTAGAACAATGATGAATGGGTGAATAAATGAAAAGAAAAAGTAAAACAATGCGAATTACTAGAACAGAATAGAATGAATGCTTTTCAAAATTGTGGTAATATTTGTAAGTACATATAGTCAAATGAAAAACGTTATATTTTTGTTTTATGTACCAATGCTATTGTGGGCCAATTTCAAATTTAGCTTTGATTGTTTTATTCAAATTCGTAATCTGTTGTGTATGATGGTGCAAGTTAACGGAGTTTAGATGTTTTACCTAAAAGGACACTGAACAAATCATTAAGGCTTATACTACTGTTCAGTATGCAAATATTAGCTGGAAAAAAATCTATTAGCATAAGCTAATTAAGGAAGATTTCCATATGATTTGTCAGTCAATAGACTACTTAATGAATTAGTCAATAGACTAGACAATATAATAAGAGGATTATTGCACGAGTCAATAGACTAGCCTATAGAATAGTCAATAGAAGAGACAATAGAGAATTTGATTGATTAGTCATTAAACCATACAATATATTACTCGGTAAAATAGCCAATAGATTAGCAATAGATTTGTCAATAGACTAGTCAATAGTAAGTAGACTAGTCAATAGACTAATCAATCGATTCTAAGCTATATTCTTCACTAGATTTAGACTAGATTCGACTATAGATTGGTCTATAGTCTCGCCTATAAAAATCTACGGTCTCAACTATAGAATAGTCTATAGTCTCGACTATAAAAAGTCGACGGTCTCGACTATAGAATAGTCTGTATCAGTCTGTAGTCTAGACTATAGATCAGTCCATAGTCTTGACTATAAATCAGTCTCTAGTATAGACTATAAATCAGTCTATAGTCTAGACTATAAATTAGTCTATAGTCTATAGTGTCGACTATAAAATAGTCAGTAGTCTCGACTACAGATTAGTCTATAGCCTCGACTATAGATTAATTTATAGTTTAGACTATAGGCTCGACTATAGAATAGTCTTTATGCTCCACTATAGAATAGTCTATAAATTGTACTCCACTATAGAATAGTATATATATAGATTAGTCTATATTCTCGACTATAGAATAGTCTATAGTCTCGACTATAGAAGAGCCCACAGTCTCGACTATAGAAGTGTCTTTAGTCTCGACTATAGAAGTGAATTGTTTATAGTCTCGACTATATACTAGTCTATAGACTAGACTCATTATAGAATAGTCTATAGTCTCGACTATAGAATAGTCTGTAATCGAGACTATAAAATAGTCTGTGTTTATACGACTAATTAGTCTATAGTCTCGACTATAGATTAATCTATGGTCTAGACTATACATAGACAGACTAGTCTATAGTCTTGACTATAGATTAGTCCATAGTCTAGACTATAGATTAGTCTATAGGACCTACTATACAATAGTCTACAGACTCGCCTATAAAATAGTCTCGACTAAAGAATAGCCTACGTTCCCGACTATAGAAAAGTCTATAGTCTAGACTATAAAGTTGTCTAAAGTCTTGGGTATAAAATTGTTTATAGAACAGTCTTTAGATGAGATTATAGACTATCCTATAAGCTTTAGTATCGATTATAGAATAGTCTATAAACTCATCTATAGAATAGTTAGTCTCAACTATGGAATAGTCTATAGTTTTTGCTATATATATAGCCTTTGCTATGGAATAGTATATAGTCTTCGCTATAGAACAGTATTGAGTTTAGAATGGTCTTTTATCTTGACTATAAAATAGTCCATTATCTCGACTGCAGAATAGCCTATAGTCTCGACAGTATTTGTAGTCGAGAAAAGAAACTTTTTTTTCATGTAATTGAATTAATTAAAAGTTTATCGCTAATCCATACCTGTAATATGGCACCAAATGCCATTAAGCCGCGTAAACAATTCTTATCGAACTGTATGACTTCTAATAGGCGATCAAAAGCCTTTTGTGTTTCGTTAAGCTTCAAATATAAAACACCAATTTCCGTCAAAACATCTGTATTTTCAGGCGACAGGCTACCAATAAAAAAAAACACACACACACACAAAACCACAAGATTAATTGATTCCCATTAACAATATGTCAATCTCACTCATACCACTTACAGCAAACAGTTCTCCAGTACCTCAATGGCTTTATTGTATTCCTTTTCCTTACGATGTATTTCAGCTAAACGTTGAAAACTTTCAAGTTTTTTGCCAGTTTGTACGGCTTTTTGAAAATATGTTTTTGCTTCTAATTCCTCTTGATGTGCCAATTCTAATTGATTGCGCGATGCTGCCGAGCGTAACAATAACTCACCAATGAAATGGAAAATTTCATGATCCAAACGTGTTGATAGTTCTTCAGCTTCGCGAAATATACTCAAAGATTGATTGTAACGTCCCATCATGAATCTGAAATGAAAGTTATAGTATTGATTTGTAAAAATTCTAGGAATATTAAAAAGTTTTGATATTTTCATTTAGTGAAAGTTTAATAAATTTTGTAAAGTGTTTGTTGTTTCTTTTTTTATATTTTAAACTCGTGGAATTTTTCATTATAAATAAATCAGAGAAACATTTATTTTTAATTAGGATAGGTATATATATTCAAAGAAATTTTGATTGTATTTTTATTTTTTCGACATTTTTTAATTTGAACTGTAAACAGACATTTTAACAATACAGTAAGGATTCCGGGAAAAATGTAGCCAATAATGCTTTTGTTTTATATTTATTGTTCCGTTTTAATAAAACAAATTCGTTTTGTAACAAGCAGCAAATTATAGTAGGACATGGTCGACTATATAATTGACCGACATTGGAGATTTTTGGTATATGGTTATTAACAACACGACCAAGTTAATGCAGCAATCTCGTGCTTTCCATGGACGGACACAATTACATAGATAGCGTACGACAAATATTTCTATATATAGTCGAGACTATCGACTGATCTATATATATATATAGACTAATCTATAGTCGAGACTATAGACTACTCTATAGTCGAGAATATACACTAATCTATAGTCGCGACTGTAGACTAAAGACTAATACATAGTCGAGACTATAGACTAATCTATAGTCGAGACTATAGACTAATCTATGGTCGAGACTATAGACTAATTTATATAGTAGTCGAGACTGTAGACTTATCTATAGTCGAGACTATAGACTAATACATACTCGAGACTATAGACTAATCTATAGTCGAGACTATAGACTAATACATAGTCGAGACTATAGACTAATCTATAGTCAAGACTAAAGACTAATACATAGTCGAGACTATAGACTAATCTATAGTCAAGACTGTAGACTAATCTATAGTCAAAACTAAAGACTAATCTATAGTCAAGACTAAAGACTAATACATAGGCGAGACTATAGACTAATCTATAGTCGAGACTATAGACTAATCTATAGTCGAGACTATAGACTAATCTATAGTCTAGCCTATAGACTAATCTCTTGTCTAGACTATAGACTAATCTCTTGTCTAGACTATAGACTAATCTCTAGTATAGACTATAGACTAATCTATAGTCGAGACTATAGACTAATGTATAGTCGAGACTATACACTAATCTATAGTCGAGACTCTAAACTAATCTATAGTCGGGCCTACAGACTAATCTATAGTCGAGACTATAGACTAACCTATAGACGAGCCTATAGACTAATCTATAGCCGAGACTATAGTCCAGACTATAGACTAAACTACAGTCGAGACAATAGACTAATCTGTAGTCGAGACTATAGACTAATATATAGTTGAGACTATAGACTAATCTATAGTCGAGACTATAGACTAATCTATAATCGAGACTATAGACTGATCGATAGTCGCAACTCTAGACTAGTTTATAGCGTATACAGACTATAGACTAGAAACTATAGACTAATCTTTAGTGGAGTTTAGCGAATAATTTATTGTCACGATTATAGACTGATCTATAGTCGAGACTATAGACTGTTGTATAGACTGGTCGATAGTCGAAACTCTAGACTAATTTACCTCCTTATTTTGTAAAACACTTCACCTTGCGTTGAAAATATTTTCATAAAAATTTTTTAAAATTCAAAAACAATTTATATGAAAAATGAAGTGAAGTGAGGGGAAGGGATTTACCCTTATAGAGTAGACAGACTAATATATAGTCGAAAGTTTAGATTAATCTACAGTCGAGACTAAAAAGTGATCTATTGAAACTGTGGGCTAAAGCTATCGACGAGATTATAAGCTAATCTATAGTCGAGATTATCGATTAATTTATAGTCGAGATTATGGACTAATCTATAGTCGAGACTATAGACTAATCTATAGTCGAGACTATAGACTGATCGATAGTCGCAACTCTAGACTAGTTTATAGCGTATACAGACTATAGACTAGAAACTATAGACTAATCTTTAGTGGAGTTTAGCGAATAATTTATTGTCACGATTATAGACTGATCTATAGTCGAGACTATAGACTGTTGTATAGACTGGTCGATAGTCGAAACTTTAAACTAATTTACCCCCTTATTTTGTAAAACACTTCACCTTGCGTACAAAAACAATTTATATGAAAAATGAAGTGAAGTGAGGGGAAGGGATTTACAAAATAACCCCCTTATAGAGTAGACAGACTAATATATAGTCGAAAGTTTAGATTAATCTACAGTCGAGACTAAAAAGTGATCTATTGAAACTATGGGCTAAAGCTATCGACGAAATTATAAGCTAATCTATAGTCGAGATTATCGATTAATTTATAGTCGAGATTATGGACTAATCTATAGTCGAGACTATAGACCATAGATTGGTCTATAGTCCAGATTCTTTAAGTAGTGAAGTGTAGTTACATATATTCCCATACTTTCTCGTCACTTTGCAATACAAGTTGTTACAGTATTCCATCTTTCTCATTACAGAAAAAGTCTGGACTTTTCATGTTCACTTGGTTTATCATATACTTTCATATAAGTCAAAGAATTTTTAAAAAACAGTAATACTCTTGCATATGTGTGTACATATGTACATATGTACTTACCCACATATAAAATCGAAAGAGTGTAAATAAACTTACAATGTTTTTCCAATTTCTTTGTAAATCTCAATATTCTGAGAATTTAATTCCAAGGATTTTTGTAAATTTCGCAAAGCTTCAATATTGTTGCCTTCCTCACGGTCTATTAAACCCTTTTGAAATTATAACAAAATATATATAAAAAAAGGTTATTTATTAATAATAAGAAAAAAAAATTGAAAACAATTGTTGTTTGTTGCCATTATTATTATTATTATTATTATTATAGGCAATGGAAGGACAATTTTTTAAATACCTTAACAAAATAGAGATACTCCGGATTTAAGTGTCTGTACAGTTCACGGTCTATTAGCTTTTTGCAACGTTCGAAATCTTTGCGAGCAAAGTAAATATGAAGTAACCAATCAATATTTGTACCCGCTGACATCATGGGAGCTGCTTTAAACATTTAATAAAGAACAATGTTTTTTAAAAAAAAAAGAAAAGAAATTTCCTTTTGGATAATACAAAGGATAATTACTTATTTTAGCCACTTCCAAAGTTATTTCTCCCTCTGCCATTTAAGGTCTACTGGATTTAATGTTTTGAATTCTTTTATTCTTTTTGTTGTTATTTATGAATATTTTTTTTATTATTTTATGCGGAGGATTTAATCTTAAGGTTTTGTTCACTTTTTATGTTTCCTTTATTATTGAGAAAAAGAAACCGTTTTGATTTTTTTTTTTATAATTTTTCTTTTAAATTAATGTAGTCTTGTTTACAACATATTTATTTTTGTAGCAACACTAAGCGGTCTAATGTATAATGTACTTTGTCAAAGTTTTTTTTTTTTTTTAATAAATAAATAAAAAAATATCTTTATTTGATGTTTGGTTACCATGGTTAACCATTGTACAAACAAACCAAAAATATATGTATGTATCACATGGAACGTGAATAAAGTTGAATAAAAATTTCAAAAGACAAACGGTAACGGAAACAAATGGCTGAAGGAATAAGTATGAAATTACTGTTGCACATGGCCGACTTAAAGTATAGCCTATATACATTTTATATGTATACCCGGCACCACTATAAACCAATCTATTTTCGTAGTTTAGATTGTAATTCCATCCATACTCGACACTATATAATAAAATTCTCGAGACAATATTAATCTATATAGAGACATAGTCTAGACTACAAACTAATCTATAGTCGAGACTCTTCTATAGTGGACATTATACCCTAATATCAAATCTATAATCGAAACAATAAACTATTCTATGGTCGATACTATAAACTAATCTTTCGATTAAAATATTGACTAATATATAGTCGAGTTCATAGAAAAATATATAGTCGAGACTATAGACTGATCTATAGTCTATTCTTTTGTCGAGACTATATACTAATGTATGGTCGAGATTAAAACCTAATCTCTAGTTGAGACGATTCTATACACGGAAATATATCTATAGTAGAGACTATAGACTAATATATAGTCGAGACTATAGAATAATCTATAGTTGAGACTAAGGACTAATCTATAGTCGAGACTAAACAAATCTATAGTCGAGACTATAGACTCATCTATAGGCGAGACTATAGACTTATCTATAGTCGAGACTATATAATAATCTATAGTCGAGACGATAAACAAATCTATAGTCGAGACTATAGACTTATCTATAGGCGAGTCTATAGACTAAGGTATAGTCGAGACTATAGACTAAGGTATAGTCGAGACTATAGACTAAGGTATAGTCGAGACTATAGACTAATCGGTAGTCGAGACAATAGACTAATCTGTAGTCGGGATTATATACTAATCTATTGTTGAGACTATATTCTAATCTATAGTTGAGACTGTAGACTAATCTATAGTTGAGACTATAGACTAATCTATAGTTGAGACTAAGGACTAATCTATAGTGGAGACTATAAACAAATCTATAGTCGGGACTAAGTTGAGACTAAGGACTAATCTATAGTCGAGACTAAACAAATCTATAGTCGAGACTATAGACTTATCTATAGGCGAGATTATATATAGACTTATCTATAGTGGAGACTATAGACTAATCTATAGTCGAGACTATAAACAAATCTATAGTCGAGACTATAGACTCATCTATAGGCGAGACTATAGACTCATCTATAGGCGAGACTATAGACTATGGTATAGTCGGGACTATAGACTAATCGGTAGTCGAGACAATAGACTAATCTGTAGTCGGGACTATATACTAATCTATTATTGAGACTATATTCTAATCTATAGTCGAGACTATAGACTAACCTGTAGTCGGGATTATATACTAATCTATTGTTGAGACTATATTCTAATCTATAGCCGTGACTATAGATTAATCTATAGTTGAGACTGTAGACTAATCTATAGTCGAAACTATAGACTTATCTATAGTCGAAACTATAGACTAATCTATAGTCGAGAGTATAAACTAATCTGTAATCGAGACTACAGACTAATCTAAAGTCGAGACTATAGACTAATCTAAAGACGAGACTATAAACTAATCTACAGTCGCGACTATAGGCTTATCTATAGTCGACACCATGGACTAATCTGTAGTCAACACTATAGATTTATCTATAGTCTTATAGACTTATCTATAGTCGTGACGATAGACTAATCTATAGTCGACACTATAGACTGATCTATAGTTGACACTATAGACTAATCTATAGTCGAGACAAATTATATTCTAACCTAATGTATGTGGTGAGGATGACCATACGACCGTTGTAGTGTAGCAGACCAGTGTCTCTGGTGGGCATCGAACCCACAACCCCCAGGCTGACAGGCTAGCACTACCAACTAGCCGACCGGGGCATCCGTAGACTAATCTATGGTCGACACTATAGATTAATCTATAGTCGAGAGTATAGACTATCTGTTGCCGAGACCATAAACAAATCTATAGTCGGGTCTATAGAATAATCTATAGCCGAGACTATAGACAACTCTACAGTTGAGACTATAAACAACTCTATAGACGAGACTATAGGCAACTCTTTAGACGAGACTATAGACCAACGATGTCCATTTCATAGCACAATTGTGCTGACTAAAACACACACATATTCTTATTCTCTTTTGTTTAGTCGTCACTGCTATAGCCTAATCTATAGTCGAGACTTTAGACGAATCTACAGTCCAATCTTTAGAAGAATCTATAGTCAAGATTATAGACTAATCTATAGTCGAAACTATAGACTGATCTATAATCGAAACTATAGACTAATCTATAGTCGAGACTATAGACTAATCTATAGTTGAGTCTATCGGCTATATGTATAGACATTACTTTTTTTGTTTACGACTTTTTGAAATATTATTTATTTAATATTAAATTTTCAAGTTCATTTGAATAATAAAACAGATAAATTTTTTTTTTTTAATTTATGTTCATTTTATATTTAAAATTTCCTAGACAAAGGCTTTAATTAGAAGAAAGTATTAGTAAAATATGTAAATTAAACAAAACTATTTTAAATTCTAGAATTGCTATTATTGCGTAAATAATATCATGTTTAAAATAAGTTCTTGGAACGTATTATCATGTTCAGGTTTTTACAACCAATCTAATAAATTATTTGTGGTACTCATAAGTAGTGTTATATCGTATAGGGTAATTTATTTATTGTTGGATTTCTAAAAAATTTGTTCAAAAAATATTTATGACATATTAAAAGTTACAACAATACGACACTGATTGTGAATTGTATAAATAATATTAAATTTGTGTAATTTTCTATTTTCAAGAAAAATACAATATTAAGTGGAATTTTAAAACGTAAATCCATTTTATACTATTAAGGGGTATATGAATTTTGTACTTAAATTACGTTTTCGTTTTACATATATTTATAAGTTCATTTTAACGATTTTGATTTATTTCATTTGTTGGAAAAACTAAAATAAAATTATGCGAAAAAAAATGTTCACATCTGCCATAAGTGCTCATTGACTGACAGACTGGATAATTTTATAAGTTTTTCTCATGACTTGAATAAAATGCTGAAAAACTTAAAATTTCTGTTGTGGTAAAATGCTTAAAACCCAATTCTTCTTTAAATATTATTGCTTTGCCAACTGCGTACTGAAATCTTGAAAACAAATAGATATTTAATGATCAATTTAACTACAAATGTTCATTCACATGTTTGTACTATTTTTTTTATTATTATATTCATAGACAATTTTCGAATTGCCAAAAAAATTTGTTTATAACTTTTTGTCTGGTTAAACCATGTAATAAAATACGCTAGAAACCGTCAGACTGCATTATTGTCTATTCTATAGACTAGACTATAGACTAGACTATAAACTAGACTATAGACTTGACTATAGAATAGATTATAGACTTGACTATAGACTAGACTACAGACTAGACTATAGACTAGACTATAGACTAGGCTATAGACTAGGCTATAGACTAGGCTATAGACTAGGCTATAGACTAGGCTTTAGACTAGGCTATATACTAGACTATAAACTAGACTATAAACTAGACTATAGAATATATTATAGACTTGACTATAGTTAGACTACAGACTAGACTATAGACTAGACTATAGACTAGACTATAGACTAGACTATAGACTAGACTATAGACTAGACTATAGACTAGACTATAGACTAGACTATAGACTAGACTATAGACTAGACTATAGACTAGACTATAGACTAGACTATAGACTAGACTATAGACTAGACTATAGACTAGACTATAGACTAGACTATAGACTAGACTATAGACTAGACTATAGACTAGACTATAGACTAGACTATAGACTAGACTATAGACTAGACTATAGACTAGACTATAGACTAGACTATAGACTAGACTATAGACTAGACTATAGACTAGACTATAGACTCGACTATAGATTATAGTATAGACCAGACTATAGACTATACTATAGACTAGACTATAGAGAAGACTAAAGACTAGACTATAGACTATAAACTAGAATATAGACTAGAATATAGACCAGACTATAGACCAGACTATAGACTAGACTATAGACTAGACTATAGAGTAGACTATATACTAGACTATAGACTGGACTATAAACTAGACTATAGACTAGACTGTAGACTAGACTATAGACTAGACTAGACCAGACTAGTCTAGACTGCACTAGACTAGACTATAGACTAGTCTAGACTAGACTGGACTAGACTAAAGACTAGACTATAGAATATAGACTAGACTAAACTAGACTAGACCAGACTAGTCTAGACTGCACTAGACTAGATTATAGACTAGTCTAGACTAGACTGGACTAGACTAAAGACTAGACTATAGAATATAGACTAGACTATAGACTAGACTATAAACTAGACTATATACTAGACTATAGGCTAGACTATAGACTAGACTGTAGACCATAGACTAGACTATATACTATAGACTAGACTATATACTGTAAACTAGACTATATACTATAGACTAGACTATAGACTATACTATAGACTAGACTATATACTAGACTATAGACTAGACTATAGACTACACTATAGACTAGACTATAGACTAGACTATAGACTAGACTATAGAGTAGACTATAGACTAGACTATAGACTAGACTATAGACTAGACTATAGACTAGACTATAGACTAGACTATAGACTAGACTGTAGACTAGACTATAGACTAGACTATAGACTAGACTATAGACTAGACTATAGACTAGACTATAGACTAGACTATAGACTAGACTATAGACTAGACTATAGACTAGACTATAGACTCGACTATAGACTCGACTATAGACAA